ACTGTAGTTTTCAAAGGAGGCTATTTGATCGGAGCATGGATGCCAGTAGCTGCATTAGTTATGGTTGTGACTGATAACAGATATGGCCCAGAGACCAACCTGTAGCCCTACTGACCAGACCTATGACCTAAAGGTACAGATGTCAAAGTAGGGATTTGGGAATAAAAGGTTTGAGTACAAGTGTACAAATGGCGCATCTGCTTTTGTGCTCCCCTGTGGCCCCCCATTTCCCAGGAGTGCAGAAGTGGAAGGCCTGGGGTTAAGCCCACAAGTATAGCTGTGAGCAGTATATGACAGGTTTTAATTCCTGCTCCATAATAACAATGTCATCAAGATAAGACCTTAAGTCCTATTTGAGTCTAGCCACCAAATGAGTCATGGGGAGATGTGTCTTGTCTTGCAAATGTGCAGAAAATGCTGGACATTGGTACTGTTGCTGTTACGATAGGCTGGCATTTATGGAGACAATTTTCAGTTTGGGAGTTTTCCAAGCTTTGGGCCACTCACTGCACCCTCTTCCTCCCCTCCCCTCGGTTTTCCTTACTTGTTCCTCATGCCCGTGGCCAGCCTTGCTCAGGATTTTCTGTGGATGTGTAGTGTGCTCATGCACAAAGACACATAAGTACTCTCTTTCCTAAGCTCAGGCACTTAACCCCTGCAGATCTTTTTTTTTTTAAAATATATTTTATTGGTTTTTTACAGAGAGGAATGGAGAGGGATAGAGAGTTAGGAACATTGATGAGAGAGAAACATTGATCAGCTGCCTCCTGCACACCCCCTACCGGGGATATGCCCACAACCAAGGTACATGCCCTTGACCGGAATCGAACCTGGGACCCTTCGGTCTGCAGGCCGACGCTCTATCCAGTGAGCCAAACCGGTTAGGCGTTAGGGCAACCCCTGCAGATCTTAAGCCTTCAGAGAGAAAATAAAAAGTTATATATTCACAAAGGGGCTGGGGACTCCAGACATCAGCATGAAAGGTAGACATAAAAAGAAAATTAGAATTGCCTGTGAGGACAAGTTTTGCACAAGGTAGAGTATCTTTTATATTAGAAAAACGAGATTTAAAATTCTACAAAATGTGAAATATTAAATACCTATGTATAGTATTGGTACATTAATGAAATATTTTGCTTTGGTGCAAGATTTAGTTTTAGGACTTTTAAGACACTACCAACTCTATCTCATAGAGTCCAATTATTATTATTGAGCTGTGTTTAAGAAAAAACAGGACTGTCAACAAGAGGGGAATAAAATCAGTGTCTTCATAAACTTTGGAACACTCAGAACTTTTGTTTTTTGTTAATCCTTACCCAAGGATATTTTTCCCATTGATTTTTAGAGAGAATAGAAGGGAGGGGGAGAGAGAGAGAGAGAGAGAGAGAGAGAGAGAGAGACATATCAATTGGTTGCCTCCTGCACGAACCCAGGGTTCGAACCTGCAACCCAGGTACGTTCTCTTGACCTGGCATGGAACCCGAGACCCTGCTCTGTGCGGGCCAACACTCTAACCACTGAGAACATGGGCCAGGGCAACACTCAGAACTTTTGAAACACTCTGCTTTAGCAGGCATCATCTGAATAATTTAAGCATTTTCACGTCAAGATTGCTTAGTTATTTAGAAAGCCATAAAGATTATTAATAACTTATAGTTTAATATAAAGTAGGAACAATGAATATCGCAAGAGGTGATGAAAACAAGCACACTTCTGTCAGATTCATAGGAGACACCAGTCAGAATTGCTCTTTCCATGGAATCAGGTCAATGAAATTGAATTCAAGGTTTAGGTGTTTGTGTCTTTGCTGGAGGTGGGCTCTTAGGCATGTCATTGTAAAGTCTGTCCCACACCCAATCGGCAGAGTAGAACTTTTTTTGTAGTGTAAATTCAGTATTTTCATCAGTGTGATCTTCACAGTTTTAGGAAATGAAAGTAATATACCATGCTTGTCTTCAAAGACTTGAATAAGTAAAATAAACATGAGTCAATATAACATTTATTCTATATTAATAGTCAGTACACATATTAATTCAGGTTGAAACCTTTTTTCTAGAGGATTATTTCTTGAATATTAGCATCTGATCCATAGTAATATAGTACTAATTTTAATGAGAAATACAATATGGAACTTTTTATAACAGCTCACCCACTTAACATTTTACAGACAAAGAACTACTATAAATATGTAACATTATGCAGGCATTTTTCTGCACCTGCTCACACACCAGAAGGAATATACTGTTTAACTAGTTAGAAACGGAATGCTTTCAAGCTGCCCCTGTATTTCTATGACCACCTCCCACACCAGATAAAATTGTTTTTCTCTTTATTCTCCCCTCCATGGCACTTGTAATGCTGCATTCATTACCTGGGCCCCCTGCCTTCACTCCTGTCCCAGGGTCTGATGGTACTGCTCCCTTGGATGAGCTCTTGGAGGGCAGGCAGCCTGTCCCCTTTATCAAAGTGTTTGGCATATGTTATACCCACACACGGTGCATCAAATTGAATTTAATCAGGACATCCAAATTTGATGTCGTTTCCTTCTGTTACATTTTTATAACTAAATAGAGATCACTACAAAAATTCTTTTTAAAAATGTACCATAAAATCTATGCATTGAAATTTTGAATTCTGTAAAATAAGAAACTTCATGTCATACAATAAAACAAAGGCATTTGTAAAGAATTCTAAACCTTAAATGATGGGCAGGAAAGTCAACTGATGTATTAAGTGTCAGATAAAATTAGAAAGACTTTTACACAGTTGAATAAAGCTGACATTAAAAGGATCTTTTCAAACAATGGGATTCTAAAGTTTAACAATTATTTTAAAAATTCTGCTATTAACCCTGAAAAACGTATTTCTTAACTGCAAAAAATAAGGCAACTTGAAGTTAGAAATTTATGAAGTTAACTCAGAATTGCATGCCCTGTTAAGATTCATATCTTTAAAAGCCTTTAGTGGGAAGGCTATTTGCACATACTGGTGAAAAAACAGCCTCGCGGAAATAAATCAGAGTTTCTAAGACTCCACTACATAGTAGACCAATTAAGATCATCACAGACTCCAAGCTGTCAAACAGATTACCTTGGAAGAAAATGATGCAGACAGTTTTTCTGAAGAACTCCATATGTGCCACGTGTTCATTATTCTTTGAAGTGGAGGAGGTGGCAGGGAACATAATTTCTGTTGAAAGTTCTTTTGTTTTCTGCTATCTTTATCTAAGTGTTACCAGGTGCTATTTTTATATCCTATAAAGTACTGTAAGAAAATATTAAGTGAATAATGCTACATCAAATAGAGGAGAGTTTTCATATTCTCTGGGTTGTAAAGCAAAGTGAATTAACACTTGATTCTTAAAAGGGGGAAGATAATGCTGAAAACTTAACAAGTATCCAGTAAGCCAACCAGCTTCTAAACTTCTGAGTTCAAAGAGAAACTGAATCCCACTAATTTATAAATGTTCACTAAAGACACTTCGACCACAGCAAATTTAAATGAAAATGTGCTATAAATTGCCTTTTAAATGATCATGTTACTATTGTGAAAGGATTGTGAATGAATAAGAACCTATTTCTATTCATTTAATGTCTTACATATACAATCAAATTGCTTAAAATACCATTATAATAAAAAGTTTTAAGAGATTTCTAAGTCATCTGATTCCTAATTATTTCTATAACAACAAAACAATTTGGATCACCTTAGAATTCACTGTAGTAGGATTTAGCACGTGGAAGATATAATCAGATTGAAACTAATTAATGTCTTGATTCCTTTTTCAAACTGGAATCCTACTTATTAATTCACCAGATATTTTCAGTAGCAAAGATTGAGAAGAAACCACTTACGAATGAATGTAAGTAGAGTACACTCGTCATAAAAACAATCCATTATAATACATTCTAATAAAAATATATATCAAACCACAGTGTGAGGGGGAGAAACAGAGCACTAGCTAAAAGGTTACTTTCTTACAAAAAAAAAAAAGTTCATTACACATATTTACCTAGTATACAGTTTTAAAACTTCCAAATGAATACACCTAAACCTTTCAAAATATTTTCAATAACTAAGTGATGTACTTTTTGCTCAATTATGAGAGATTAAAAACTTACAATGCTAAGTATTGGCTTGAGCCATCTTGCAGTAAATGAAGTCAGGAGTCTTCAAAGCACTGTAAAATGTACCAACTTTAGTCAGGCTTTTTAAATTGTTCACTTTTAAATATATATTTGCTGGTAGCTGTCCACGTCCATTAGCACCACATATTGAACGAAAAAGAAATATTTTTAGGGAGGATGACTCAGCCATCTTTTAAAAAAAATGTTTAAAAGTTAGACAAATAAAAGAAATTGGTGTTTTGGGTCATGTGTTTTGAAAAATCCACTTTTCGTCTTGTTAAACGAAAGGATTTGGTTGGGTTCCCCCAACTTTATACAAGCATGAAGATAGGGAAATCTGCATGCTTTTCAGCAAAGAATCTTACTGATAATAGTTCAGTTCCAAAGTCAGATTAGGTTCTTCTGCCAGAGGTCTCAACGAAAGAAAGGAAGGGAAGGGGAAGGGAAGGGGAGGGGAGGGGAGGGGAGAGAAGGGATTCTACAGGACAAATTAGCACATAGTTTCTATATACAATCCATAAATAATTCACGAAATCACAGGATCATTTAAAATCATCTACTGTACATTTTTTTTCTAGGAATGTACAAATGCTCTTTAGCAAATACTATACAACTCTAGTGAAAGCTCCTCCTTGCTTATCTACGTCCAGAGTAACGCTGTCACTCAATTTAAACAGTGGGGGACTGTACAGTCTGAAGCCTAACCTGAGAAGTAAGGAAGTGTATTCTAGTATTATGGCCACAAGAAAAGATTGAAATAGAATCCCTTTTTCAAAAAGGATGGCAATCACTGATTAGATCGATGATTTCAATAACTGAATAAAATGCAAATAAGCCCTTCTCATTGTTATAAGTTTTTTTTTTTTTTTTTTGGTAAGGAATTAGCTGTACTGTAAAAAAAAATGATGAAAAATGTAATTTCCAATGTCCATGTGAAATGTTTTTTCCTGGTATCTCTCAAAACACAAGCACGATGAAAGAATACTGACATTTAAAATATAATGTGCTTTAGCAATAATGTTTTACTTTCTATTCAACCTTGTACTTGGCTCATCCTTGGTCAGGAGTAATATTTTTGCTGATTAAGACTTCCTAGGACTTTTGCTGCCAGACTGGCTTCGGATCACTCTCCCCACTCCGAGGAGGGTTGAGGAGTGAGGTCTTGGGAGCGGAAAGCTTGCAACAGGAATCTTGTTCTGTGGTGACTTGTTACCTGGGAAGTTTGCCGTCTCCCGGGTGGAAAGTGACATTCCACTCTTTTTCTTTTTGCTCTTGCTGTTGTTTAGTTTTTTTTTTGTTTTGAACCTTTTCATCGGAGGATCCCCTGCAGACATGGATTTATACAAGTCTGTTTGGGACAGAAGGAAGGAGGCGAGGGAGAATGCTCTCGTGTTGTGTTCCCACAGCTTGGCACTTGGTAATGATCTGCCTGTTGGATACATTTGTGAATGGCTTTTGTGAGGGACTTGAGCAAGACTAGAGACCACTCATGTTTAAAGTTTAACTATGCATATTCTGCACATTCTGCTAAAATTGGGAAAATGCAATTTTTTTTAAAGGTAAGACTACTGCTTAGAAGTGTAACAACTATAAATAACACATTCACACCAAAAAAAAGCTCACCTTATTCACTGTTTTAAACAAGATAAATGTGCACTGTAACAAAAAGTTTTTGAAAACTAAATGTAATGTTACCTGTACACAGAGTTCAACTATCAGAAGGAAACCAGGCTTTGTGACATCAGAGGACCAAAAAGAGATTATGGCATATTGTAAGTGCTCAATCAATACGTCTTCATATGCCATTTCAGCAACTCCTTTTATGTCACTTTGCTATTGTGATCCACGCTGACTTCCTCCGTCCAGAAGTAGCTGCGTTTTAGTGGTAGGCAGAGTTTCATAAACTTGATTAAGTCTTCAACACTTCTGGGCTGAGGTGGTACCTTTAAATTCCACAGATGAAAATCTCTCATTTGTTAATGAGTAAGAAATGCCACAATTATGGAAAATAATTCATTGTTAAACTTCTTCCCCGTCCCATGATCTGGAAATGGAGTCACTGTAGAAGACTGTTTATTTTATTATCACCAGAGGCCATTTCATTAACCAGCTGCTCTATAGACAACTGGATAGCATTCTTGACAAGAGAAGAGGCTGTTTCTATTAGGAGTGTTTCATACTGTTCTGAAGTTCTACCCTCAAAACCACACTCAGCAAAACCCCCTCCTTCCTCGTTTTCCATTGAAATTAAGAATCGCTTAGGGACATTTTTAGATTTCTTGACATCAAATTCACTGATTTCAGTGTCTGTAATAATAATAGCAATGGGCTCCATTTTTTTGTTTTCTTCCGGTTTGGGTTTCTCTGCACTGATCTCCGTTTCTTTAAAATCTGATTCCTGGCTCACTTCATTATCTTTTGGCTTAATCTCTTCAGCTACAATCTCTCCACTTTCATGGTCTTTCCCATTTGGTTCACTTTCTAGGACATTGTTTCTGGCTTCTTCCGCAATTGGTTGATCTGGGATTGCAGGAGAGCGGGGAGCATCAGAAACCACTGGCAGCCGATGTTCTGTTTCTGAAGTTTCCAGTGGGCTTGTTTGCTGGGGCTGGATACTTGGGGTTTCCTCAGTTGTTTCAATGTCTTTTTCAAGGATTAGAGTTCCTGTTTGAATAGCAGAATGCCCCTTTTCTAACCCAAGTTCTACTGAAATCACATTCTCTCCAGGAGAAGTTCTGCTGTTGCTCACATTTGGTTCACAGACCTCATCACCCCCTTTCTGTGAGACCTCTCCACTTACTTCCTGGGTCAACTTGGTCTCTGTTGCCTGGTCATCCGATTTGGCTGGAGTTTTTGTATCCAACCTTTCAGCCTCTCCCTGAACTTGGATGCTGCAGTCTGCATCTTCTGTAATTTCGGAATGATTATGTCTTTTCTCCCCCTTTGAGAATTTTATGCAGGGAATCCTAAGTCTGGATTTTGCCTTTTTCTTGGGAAGATTAGCATCCTCGGCACTGACTTCAGGTTGCACTTTGGCCTCAGCGGGCTTTTGCTGCTTGGAAGAACCTGACCTTTTCCTGCGTGTCACAAGACGTTTTATTGAGGCCCAGGCCCCCCCTGGGGGCTGTGGCTGCTCCGAAGCTCCAGCTCCTGACGCACACTTCCTGGCCACGTCCGCAGCTCCAGAGCCGGCTCTGGGCTTCATTGCTTTGGCTGATTTCTTCCTTCTCTTGAAGCAAAGCATTGATGCTTTTCCCTCCTGCCTCTCATCATGAGCTCTAACTTCTGCTGATCTCGTCTCATCCTTGCTTTCTACTTGAATGTCAGAAACGGGGGTCTCCATTTTTACTATACACTCCTTCTCTCGAAAATGATATTCTCTCTTCCTTAGCAGCCGTTTATGACAAGAAGCTGGGCAAAAGTGTCATACTAAGCAAAATTTCTTCCAGATGCATTCACTCCTTTCATCTTATTCCATACAGTTGTTTGAGGTGGTTTCTCCAGCATGCAAATGCTTAGTTTCTCTATTACTTGTAATTTCTCTCTTCAATTTCTTCATGAGAGCCCTTTACTTGATAGACTTTGTTTTAGTTAAAGATTAACCTGGTGAGAGAAGAGAGAGGTGAGAGAAGATAAAATATTTTATTTCACCATCAGCCTGTTGTTTTCTACAGACAATTTTCATTGAATGCGTATGATTCTACCAGGCATGTTTCCCATATTATAACTGACTGAAAATGGAGAATAAAAATTGGTGTTAACTTAAAAAAAAAAGATTTTAGAGAGAGAAAATACATAGGTTGCCTCATACTCACCCATACTCACCCCAACTGGGGTTCAAACCTGCAACCCAGGTACATACCCTGACTAGGAATCAAATCTGGGACACTTCGGTGCATGGGACAGTGCTCCAAACAAATGAACTATATCAGCCAGGTCTGGGGGTTAACTTTTGCCTTGTCAGAAACATTTCAATGTAAATATATTTTGCTCTAGTTAAAACTTCAATTTGGATTGTTTCTACAAATCTGATGTTATTACTTTAAAAAATATTTTTATTGATTTGAGAGAGGAAGGGAGAGGGAGAGATCAATGACAAACATCAATGAGAGAGACATCAACTGGTTGCCTTCTATGTGCACCCTGACTGGGGTTCAAACCTGCAACCTGGGTATGTGCCCTGACCAAGGAATTAAACTGGTGACCTTTCGATGCATGAGTGGATGCTCAACCAACTGAGCTACACAGGCCAGGGCAAGTTGTGCTATCTTTTTGACTTGTTTATGACTCTGAATTCCAAGTTAAACAGACAAAGAATGGTAGTGATAAGCAAGCTAGTGTAATTTTTATTACATGCAATAAAGAATTCTGAAGCTGAAAAGGATTTTAGAGATTATTTAAGATTAATCAAGTCCAGTCTGATGAAGAAATTGAGCGCGGTAATGAACAGTTAGCCTGTGGAAAGCCATATAGTTAGGTAAGGTCATAGCCAGAGTTAGAACTAAAGACTTGGACTCTCCAATGCTCTTTCCATTATACCATAAGGTTTCTGTTCTAAAAATGTAAATTCCGTCAAGGAAGTGCTACTTTTCATACATACTCTGGGGAAATGTAACAGTACTATGATTTGCCACTCTTAAATTTAGTTGTATAAATTTTTTCTAAGTATTTGCTGTTCAAACATTTTCCATAATGAGCTCATAGTTGAAGGTCAGTAAGAGCAAATGATAGTAATCGCTGACATTTTTTGAGCAACTTCTGTGTCTTAGGCAGTGCTAAGCACTTTTATATACATCTCTAATCCTCCCCACATTACAAAGTGAGTAGGTGGTGGTATCGCCATCTACAGACAAAGAAACAGGCTTAGAGAGGTTATGCAACTTGCCTGAGATTATACAGCTGGTAGGTAACAGAGCTCAGATTCAACCGAATATTGTGTCTGAAACCCATGCTCTGAAACTGGGCTTTAAGAGTTTCATCAGAAAAATGAACTGTTTAAAGATGCTAATCTGCACTACATTCACTAGTCAAAAAATTTTTAAATGTTTAATGGTTATTTAACTACTAGTGGGCCGGTGCATGGATTCGTGCACCGGTGGGGTCCCTCAGCCTGGCCTGCGGGGATCAGGCCGAAACTGGCTCTCCAGCATCCCCTGAGGGGTCCCAGGCCAGGCTGAGAGGGCGCAGGCCAGGCCGAGGGACCCCACTAGTGCACAATCAGGGCCGGGGAGGGGCTGCAGGAGGGCTCCAGGGTGTGTCTGGTCCATCTCATCAGTCCTGATCGCTGGACCCCAGCAGCAAGCTAACCTACTGGTCGGAGCATCTGCCCCCTGGTGATCAGTATGCATCATAGCTACAGGTCGAACGGTTGTTTAGGCTTTTATAAATATAGATTATGTAGCCCATCAACTCGTAACTGAATCAAGATTAGACTGAGTTCTTGCTATTTTTAAAATTCAGCTTTGGAAATTCCTTAGATTTTATTTTCTTGGTTCTGGAAATAATTCGAAAGCCAAATGTAAACGATAAACTTTACAACTGGCAAACTGGTTAGTTACATTTAAATATAAAGGTATATTTAAAAATTAATCCACAGATTGGTATGATGGTACGGATGAACAGAGATCAAGGTTATCATCTAACAAAAATCCTATGCATTTCAGTTGATGGATGTCCTAAAATAAGCAAAGGGACGCATCCCTGGGGCTATTTTTATGTAAATCTTTCACTGTTGAAGGTTTCACTGTTAAAGTTCTTGATTCTATGAACCACATAAGGAACTGGAACTCTGAAAATCAGTTTATGATCTAAGTATTCCCTAAGGTTGGGTGTTACATACTACATGCCTCTGACAGAAAGACAGTCCTCTTACAGCAAAAATGGAGCTTAAATATGAACATTTAAAAGTGTCCCTCCTCACTTAATGCTTCCATAAGTACTAGAGCTACAGCTGATTACAGCTTTAAGTCTTTTCACCTCTTGTGAGTTCTCTGCTCCTGACAACTTTTATTAACCAGAGCATGTATAACTAACAGAAATACTGAAATGAGATCATGTGTAGGAATGCAGAAGCTCATTTGTATGATTATCACACTGTAGAAATAAAACACATGCCCACACAAAAACCTAACTGCAATGGGGAAAACGCAGTCTGCAGACATTAAAACTTTGCAGAATGTTAGATTGCAAGTGACTCCTCCTTAATCTTAAAGTTCCTGTTGTCATTTCCTGATAGAATCGCAAGACTAATGCCACAGGGAACACCCCTGCCCCCTTTCCCTTGAAGCGGAGAAGCGCGGAGGAAAGAGCGAGCACTTCCCGGGGAAGCAGTGACCCCCGGGGAAGCAGTGACTCCCCGAGGAAGCAGTGACCCCCCCGGGAAAGCAGTGACCCCCGGGAAAGCAGTGACTCCCGGGGAAGCAGGGACTCCCCGAGAAGCAGTGACTCCCCGAGAAGCAGTGACTCCCGGGGAAGCAGCGACTCCCCGAGAAGCAGTGACTCCCCGAGAAGCAGTGACTCCCGGGGAAGCAGCGACTCCCCGAGAAGCAGTGACTCCCCGAGAAGCAGTGACTCCCGGGGAAGCAGCGACTCCCCGAGAAGCAGTGACTCCCCGAGAAGCAGTGACTCCCGGGGAAGCAGCGACTCCCCGAGAAGCAGTGACTCCCCGAGAAGCAGTGACTCCCGGGGAAGCAGCGACTCCCCGAGAAGCAGTGACTCCCCGAGAAGCAGTGACTCCCGGGGAAGCAGCGACTCCCCGAGAAGCAGTGACTCCCCGAGAAGCAGTGACTCCCCGGGAAAGCAGTGACTCCCGGGAAAGCAGGGACTCCCCAGCGGCAGCTGCGGACCGCGGAGCTTCCTCCGGAGGAAGGCGTCTCATTCGGCTGGAGGAGCCTTATGGCAGGAGCTAAGCTCAGGATAAACTCAAAAAGGAAAGTGCCGGGGGCGTGCGACAGATAACCCAGCTTCCAGCTCTCTGCACAGCCGTAATGCCAGGAACCCAAACCCATTCCCCTCAAATAAAGGGCGAAGAAGGAGAAAGCTACCGCAACCCATGATCCAGGGCGAGCTGCGAGGAAGAGGGTAGGTTGGGCAGAGCCGATGAGGGGCGCGCGGGCTGGAGCTTCGTATGGACAAGTGACCTTCCCGGTTCTCACACCGGCCGTCTCCGGGGGCGCAGGTTCCGGGGTTCAGGGGCTCCTCCCGCCCACCACGCTGCGCAGGGTCAGCGGACCGGAC